AGGACAAAGGCATGAACCAGGCTACCAAAATCATGCCTAATGCCAAACACATCAGATGCATCCAGGAAACATTTTGTGCAAAATAAGGTCAATTCTATTTTCCTGTGGACTTCCACTGTAATTTCTTAAGTTATATTTAAAATATAAAAATTTATTAAATTTAACATTTTCAGCATCTTTATTTTCCTATCACCTCTAATAAGAATTTAATCAAGTGAATGTATTAGAATACAAAAATGATATAAGAACACTAGTAGCCCATCGCGCAACGCGCGCAGTAGGCCACCGGGCATTTTCGCAGGAGCCGGCAGGAACCACAGCACTGCTTCCCCGGGGGGCAGGAGGGACCCACGCTGCTTCCGCGGGAGGCGGGCCCACTATCTCTTCTCTGGGCCTTTGCTCAGCCACGGAGGCTGCGGGTGCCCCCCGCCCCGTCCCTGTCCATGTCCATGTCCACTCCTGCTCTGGGGGACCGGCCTGAGCTGGGCACAGCGACAAAGCAAGCATTCGGCCAGGCCACTCACGCTGCCCACTCTCAGCGGTCCCCCCTCCCCTCCCCACCCCTCCCAGGACTGGAAGACTCTGGTGGGGCTGAGAGGACTGGGCGCTTACATCTTGTGGGTATGGGTGCCGCCATCTTTGTGATGGAGTGATGGTTAATTTGCATATTATCCTTTTATTAGATAGGATACCAACAGACATCACTGATGTGTATTAAGTACCACAACAGAATGGATATAAATAAGACTCCTGAACTTGAGGTGATCTGGGTTCAAATCCTGACTGTCCCACTTTCTTGTTCAGATAACTGGGAAAATTATAAACCCTATAAGCTTCAATTTCCTCAGTTATAACTGGGGTTTATAATAATAATATTTATACACAATAATACTAGCTACTTCATAGGATCATTGGGGTTTTAAATAAGATAATAGTTGTAAAACATTCAGTAAGTGACCAATAATTAGTTATTATTCTTTCCCTGAAAATGATCATCAACTTCATGATACTTGGATATTTAAAAAACCGAATCCTCTCTGCCAAAGTTATTCAAAATGTTTCAGAGAACTAAAGATTTATGTAAATTGTTCAGGAGGGAAAGTAATTTCCTTGAGGAATTTTGTGAATGATGCTATCATTTTTTAATTGTTAGTTGCTTATTTATCTGAAAGAACATTGTGGTATTTTTTTTTCAAAATTGGCCATTCTAATTACTTATTACTTGACAGATACTGTCTTAGATAGTAAATTCTCTTAATTAATCCATGAGGTAGAGATCCCAGTTTTACAGATAGGGAAGTTATAGACTAATATCCCTAATGAGCACAGAGACAAAAACTCTCAACAAAATATTAGCAAGCCAAATTCAACAACGTATTAAAAATGACCAAGTGAGATTTATCCCTGGCATGCCAGGGTGGTTCAACATAAGCAAATAAATATGTGCATCCAACCATAGTAATAGAATGAAAGATAACAAATTCTATGATCATCCAACTATATGCAGGGAAAGCAGTTGGCAAAATACAACATTTTTTCATGATTAAAAACCCTCAACAAATTGGATACAAAAAGAATAAACCTCAACATAATAAAGACCATGTATAACAAGCCGACAGCTAACACATTCAACAGTGAAAAACTAAAAGCTTCTCCTCTAATATCAGGAACAGCACAAAGGTGCTCTCTTTCACAACTTTTATTCAACATTAGAGGCCCAGTGCACAAAATTTGTGCACTCAGTGGGGGTTCCCTCAGCTCCGACTGTGCCCTCTCACAGCCCAGAAGCCTTCTGGGGATGTCCAACTGACAGCTTAGGACATTAGTCCTAAGACAGCACCCGTGAGCCCAGCTTCTGGCTGAACGGCACTCCCCCTGTGAGAGCACACTGACCATCAGGGGACAGCTCCTATATTGAGCATCTGCCCCCTGGTGGTCAGTATATGTCATAGCAACCAGTTGTTATGCTGTTCAGTCAATTTGCATATTAGCCTTTTATTATATAGGATATGATTTTTGTCTTACAATTTGTTTGCAATGTATTTATTGATTTATTGATTTCTGAATATTGTACCAGCCTTTCATCTCTGGAATAAATTCCATTTGTTCATGGTGTATGATCTTTTTATTGGATCAGATTCACTAATGTTTTTTGAGTTTTAGCATCTATAGTTATCAGGGATATTGACCTGTAATTCTCTTTTTTTGAAGTATCTTTAACAAAAGAAATATAATCCAAATAAAAAATGGGCAAAGGATCTAAATAGACACTTCTCCAAAGTGGACATACAGATGGCCAAGAGATACATGAAAAAATGCTCAAAATCACTGATTATCTGAGATGCAAATTAAAATGACAATGAGGTATCACCTTACACCTTCAGAACAGCTATCATCAACAAACCAACAAATGACAAGGGCGGGTGCGGATGTGAAGAAAGGGAACCCTAGTTCACTGCTGGTGGGAATGCAGACTGGTGCAGCCATTATGAAAAACAGTATGGGTTTTCCTGAAAAAATTAAATATGGAACTGCATTTGACCTAGTGATCCCACTTCTAGGAATATATCCTAAGATCCCAAAACACCAATTAAAAAGAATATATGCACCGCTATGTTCATAGCAACACTATTTACAATAGCTAAGATCTGGTAATAGCCCAAGTGCTCATCAACAGATGAGTGGATAAAAAGCTGTGGTACATTTACACAATGGAATACTATGCAGCAGTTAAAAAAATAAGAAGAAAAAAAAGGATCTCTTTCCATTTGAGACAGCATGGAGGGACCTGGAAGAGTATTATGTTAAATGAAATATGATAGTCAGAGAAAGATAAATATCTCATGATCTCACCCATTTGTGGAATCTAATGAACAAAATAAACCGACAAACAAACAAAATAGATCCAGAGACATAGAAGCATGGAACAAATTGACAAATCTCAGAGGGAAAGTGGGGGTATGGAGTGGGAGTAGGGAGATATTAACTAAAGAACTTATATGCATATACGCATAACCCATAGACACAGACAATAATGTGGTGAAGGCCTAGGGAGAGTGGGTGCAGTATGGAGGGGGTCAATGGGGGGAAAAGGGAGAGAACTGTATTACTTACAACAATAAAGATAAATTTGAAAGTAAATAAATAAATAAGCAGCCAAACTCATAAAAACAGATATTAGCTGTTCCCACCAGGAGAAATAATAACTATGTGATGTGATAAAGATGTTTGCTATGATATAGAAGTAATCATAATGCAAAATACATTCTACACCTTAAATTTCCACGTTTATATCAATTGTTGCCATCTTTTGGCTTTAAACAAAGCATATTTCTGAATTAATGACTTTCAGGAAAAAAAAAACAAGGTATTTTGTTATATATATATATATATATATATATATACACACACACACACACACATAGAGAAATTTTCAAACTTTGATAGATAAAAGTGAAATTATTTCTTTTTTTTCAGTATGTACTTTGGCACTTCCATAGTAACAATCCTATGGCTCTTGAAACATTGCCTTTTGAGGGATAATGGTTTACCTTAATCTAAAATACCTGAAGGTAGTTACATCTGAGGAAAGCACTATATTGTTGTAGACCTTAAAAAAGGATAATCATTTAGTGTTTATATAGTGGAAATCATAAATCTATCCCTAACTCAGTGGGTAAAAACCTGAAGGAATAAATTAACCACTTTTCACAGTTTTTTTTAAATGCTTTTAGGAAACTTCAGCAAGTTGAACACAGGATTATAGCTACAGACAAAGGGAAACTTATTTACAACACTCTGGCCACAATACCACTTTCACAATCTAGGGAAATGAAAGCTAGAAAGACCTAAACCCAAATCCTAATCTAGCCTAATTTACTGGTCAGAGTCCCTCAGGCCTCACTTTCTCATCTGTAGAATTAATAGAGTTATTCATTCATTGTCGGCTGAATGCCTAAGTACCAAATCCTCTGTTGACCATGGAAGTTTGATATTTTGTTTTGAGTAAATAAAAAGCATAGTCCTGACTTTGCAAAGCTTCTAATCTTGTGATGATACCAAAAAATGCAACCTAACTCTATGACAAGCCATCGTGCCTGGACAAATTTAAAAAAAAAAAAAAGCTACAGAGCCAAAACCCATTTGGCTCAGTGGATAGAGCATCTGTCTGAGGACTGAAAGGTCCCAGGTTCAATTCCGGTCAAGGGCATGTGCCTTGGTTGCGGGCACATCCCCAGTAGGGGGTGTGCAGGAGGCAGCTGATCAGTGTTTCTTTCTCATCGATGTTTCTAACTCTCTATCCCTCTCTCTTCCCCTCTGTAAAAAATCAATAAAATAGATTTTTTTTAAAAAGGCTACAGAGAGGAGGAAATATACTTGAGCTGAGACTTAATGAATATAAGTTGCTTAGATGGGGACTATGAGTATTCCTTAAAGAACTGTTCAAAGACAAGATGACAGGAAAGAATGAGGAGAGGTTTATGTAGATGATGCACAGACTGAGCATCTGATGCCCAGTCTGTGCATCTCTTAAGGGCTTTATATGCCACATTAGGGAATCTGACCTTTAACCTTTAAGAAATAGTAAACACTAAGATTCTGGAAATTGGCTGTAAGCCCAACCAGGTGAATCCAATTTGTCTATCATTTCATCTGAAGTTGTTAAGTGCCTTTCAAAGCGAAAATGTTTTAAAGCAAAAAAGCCATCCAAGTTTTGATGCTGATATTATGAAATCTAAAATATTTCATTTAACTGAAAATTTTTAGGACTAGTAGATTTCTATTGTTATAAGTACACTGTAAAAGCAAGATATATGGCTTATGTTATTTATCAAATACAAATTCTGTAAATCCCTAGGTGTAAAAAGTATACACAGGTATTGTATTTATATGCCTCCCAAGAGACTTTTCATCCTTTGTTTAAATAAAGCTTCACTCTCTTCGCTGTGAATATTAATTAGCTACAAAAGTACCTAAAGAGAACATGAAGTCCCATTTACCTGTGCTCTGCAGGTACAGGGGGCGGCCAAACAGCAGGATCTCTAAATGGTTCGTCTTGACAAGACACAGGGAAATCTGGGGGCTTGTCAATTTTAAAACTTTCCAAAGTGTTGACAATACTTTTAACTTGTTCATATTCTTCCAATAATTCCTGCCGAACCTTAAAAAAAAAATAATATGCCAGAAATTATTTCAAGTTTATATCAATTGCTATAGAATGCAAGTTTCCTTAAATGTTTTTCAAAGTATACAACATGAGTCACTAAAATATATATATATATATATATATATATATATATATATATATATATTCAAAAACAAAGAACTATTTAAAGTGATATAGGCAGAGGGGTAGGAATTAGTTTGAAAAAAGACATAATTAAATACCTTTTCACGGGGGAACTATTAATACACCTTCATAATGAAACTTTATTTCTACCAAGGAATATAATGACCATAAACATAATTTAAAACAAGCAACTAATTCAGTAATAAGTTAGCCAGTCCAGAGAGCTATAATATTAATACTAAATCATTTTTATATACTTGGAAATAACTTTAAAAAAAAGTTTTTAAAATTTTTATTAGTAATCTTAGAGAAAGGAAGAGAGAGAGAATCATCAATTTGCTGTTCCACGTATTTATGCATTCATTGGTTAATTCTTGTAGGTGCCCTGACAGGGATCAAACCCAGAACCTTGTATATTGGGACGATGCTCTAACCAACTGAGCTACTTGACAGAGCTAGCTTCCAAAAACTTATCAGCCAAATTTTTGACCAGCATTTCCTGTCCCCAATCTCACTAAATATGAAATGCCTGCTTATCATGGGCATATGAAAGCCTGAAGTGGTAAAATACTATACAAATAATACACTACTAATTTTTATTTAAATTCTCCTTCATCTAAAATCTGAATTCTTTGGGCCTTGTTAAATTCTTTCAAGTCCTGGGCAAAGTTTATTTTGAGCTCAAAGGTCAGAGTTTTCCTATATTTAAAAAATCTCATTGAGCACCTAGTGTATGGAAATTCTTGTGTTTTGAAACTCTGAGCCAAAAACTAATTTTCAAATGCAAATAACTAATAGATTGAAAATTAGAGTTATAAATTCAGTTTAACAATTCTAATTTTTTTTTATCAGAATACACACTTTACTGTAAAAAGAGAGCATAAGAAATGTGCCTTAGCCAAAATGGGTTTGGCTCAGTGGATAGAGGACCGGTCTGCAGGCTGAAAGGTCAAGGGCATGTACCTTGGTTGTGGGCACATCCCTGGTAGGGGTGTGCAGGAGGCAGCTGGTTGATGTTTCTCTCTCATCGATGTTTCTAACTCTACCTCCTTTCTGTGGAAAATCAATAAAAATATATTTTTTTAAAAAGAAATGTACCTTGAACTTTACCTTGAATAATAGGTAATATTGTTCAAGAAAAGAGAGAGGAAGGAAGAGAGAATCATCACCTTACATTAAGTCATCAATTTAATATATATAGAAAGAAACATATTAAGGAGATGCAGTATCAAAGAAAAACTAGGAAAAATTCATCTGTTCATATATGCAATTACAAGATATACTTGAAGAAATAAAATTTCTGGAACTTAATGGAAACAATAGAAATATCTGAATAAAAATGGCAAACTACTTAATATAATTAAGAACGTGTCAAGAATATTTCCATGCTAGATTACTAAACCACTCTTATCTGTGGCTAGTGTGCAGGATAGAGGAAAACAACTAAAAATTTAAACTTGAGTTTGAGCAAGTATATTGTTCTCTCAACATAATCTGGTAATACTTAAGTCAGAAAATAAGCCAAATTTACCCTACAAATTTAAAAACATCAATTTGTGACTAGTGGAAAAATTAGAAGAAACACTTAAAAGGCTTTAGTACGTAAAATGGAATCTTCAAAGAAATATTTGACTTTGTACTTATAATTTTAAAAGGATTTTAAGTTTTAAGAATAAGTGGAAAAATTATAATTCAATGTTTTATTAACTGTACTATTATAAAATCAAGTTGTATAGTCAAGAGACAGCAAATATATTAGTGTTTTTTATTAGATTACTGACTTTTGTATTTGTAAGGAATCTTTCAAAAGAAGAATAAACTTTCTTAAAAGAAAAGTTTTATGAAATGGGTCAAAATACATGTAGAACTGAAAGGGGAAAGGGCAAGTAGCAATAATTTATTTCAAAAGTTTGTACTCATAATTAGGCAACTGATCATGAAATTTTTTTAAAAATAAAATAGGTTCAATTAGGATTATGTGTCTTTGAAGTATGTATCATGAAATTTAAAAAAATATGTAAAGTATTATCTGGGCAAGAGAGAAAACTATTCAGAGTGCATTTTAAATATACCTCAGTATTCAGACAAGTAAAAACTATTTACATCTCAAGCTCCAATCTTTCAAGAATAGACTGCTGCCCTGACTCACTGAATAATGTGACCTTACCTGTTGCCATTTGCCTCTGATAGCCGGGTCTCTAACTGACTGGCAATGTCTCTGAATCTGCTGGATCACCCCTTGGTAATATACCATTGATGAGTCATAATTTCCAAGAAGTGCATATTCTCTTCCTTTCTTTGCATTGTCACAAATCTCAGCCAAGTTCATCTTCTTTCAGAGACCTAAAAATTAAATATAATGACTTTTTATTAAGTTTTCAGCACTGACTTCAAGGTATTTTTTATTATTCTTTAAAATATCATCTTAAAACTACATGGAAAGTCAAAATGGTTTTCTCTTTGTTTGAGGTTATTTGAATGCATCTTATAATACTGAACAAAGTTTCTAATTTTGGCAGCACAAAGGAGTTCAAAAAAGAACACCTAAGACAATAATGAGAAATTACATAGCTCTGAACTACTGATTCATGTTACAGGTACTGGTTTTCCTTGCTCATTTGTAATGACAACAAGCTGCAATAATAGTGCTAAAGATGATCTTGTTTAATTTCTTTCAATGTATTCTTGATAATGTAGGAATATATGAATATCACATATTTTCCAATTATGTCAATTAAAACCGCAGAAATTCTCACTAAAACTTTTGGCCTAAAAACAAAAAGTCATACTGAAGAAACTCATTTTAAGATCAGCCTATAGTGTTCACGCATCATTTATGTGCATTTAATGTGCCATATAACTTAAATCTAAGCAAAATCCTATGAATTAAACTACCTGAGTTCTTTTTGTTCAACTGTAATCACCCATGATCCTGCCATTCTCTATCATTTTTTCTTTTTTGTCTGTGCAAATAACTATCACTAATATTTCCATTCTACAAGATGCTATAAGACCATCATCTGAAACTATGGTTTCCACCAAAGCTCCCCAGCCCATCATTCCAGCTTTTCTTCCAGGCTTTCTAAACATCTCCCAGAATCATTCCAGACTTCCATGCAGAAATATTTTCCACTCAAGACTACTGGCTGGTTTTGCTCAGTGGATAGAGCGTCAGTCTGGGTACTGAAGGGTCCCAGGTTTGATTCCAGTCAGGGACACATGCCTGGGTTGTGGGCTCGATCCCCAGTATGGGGTGTACAGGAGGCAGCCAATGAATGATTCTCTTTCATTATTGATGTTTTTCCCTCTCCCTTTCCCTTCCTCTCCGAAATAAATAAAAATATATTATTTAAAAAAAAAAAAAAAAAAAGACTACAAAGAGTAGGAACTACAGAGATACAGAAGAATGACATCCCGGGAAGAAGTCCAAATTGCCTGTTCTTATTTCCTCAAACAGTAGACCAATGAATACCCTTAGAGGAGAAAATCAAATGGCAGTATTTTTCCACACCTCCCTGAGGGAATTCGAGTTTGGCTCTTCCTTTGTCCCTTTATCTATTCTTAAGGGGCTCTAACACTCTGCCTCAAAATTAACCACATCTAGTTCTAGGCATTGTTAAGTGACTACAGTACTTTCTTAAAATAAAGCTGTTTCCTATATTTGCCCCTTCGCCAAGCATAGGTTCACTGAAGGCATCATCTATGTTACTTGAGAATTACATTGCAGCTAATTGTACACTATTTCTACACGGTAAGAAATTCCAATATTCTGTAGATTAATAACAGAATATAGAACCGTAGAAAGCTTCTTCTCAAATTAAATATTAACACAAAGCAGGGAGATCTTTTTACAGTGAACAATCTGCAATTAATAAATCCGATAGAAACAAAACTGTTCTATATATTTTCTTTTAAAGTCACTGTGAGACTAAGCATTAATTCTGCTATTATGTGCAGGTACATAACTTTGCAGAATAAAAATACCTTGGTGTAAAGCAACAGTCAGCAAACTTTATAAAGGATTAAACAGCAAATATTTTAGGTTTTAAGGACTAACGGGCAATATTGAGGGCATTGTTTAAGTGAGTGACACAATGAGACAAAATTTCCACAATTTTTATTGATGAAATTCAAAATATTATACTGATAATAGCTGAGCACAACTTTTTGTAAAACAGGTCTTCTAATAAAAATTAAACTCTGTGGGGAGGATGAATATTTCACTTAGTTGGGATGCAAAATTACTGATCCTAAACATCAAAATCAAATGCAACCATGGCCAGTATAACTCACTTGTTTGCAGTGTCGTCCTGTACACCAAAAGGTTGTGGGTTCAATTCCCGGTTGGGGGTACATACATTCGTTTTAGGTTTGATCCCCAGTCAGTGCACAAATGGGAGGCAACCAATCCGTGTTTCCCTTTCTTTCTTACTCTCTAAAATCAGTAAACATATCCTCAAGTGAGAATGTTTTAAAAAATTAAATGCAAATGTTCATACATTAATGATTACTTTAATGAAATTTTATGTATTTCATGTATGACAATGTCTTTTTACCCAGATAGATACTGTCGCATACTGATATCAAATCATAAGAATATGATTTCATTCAGCATAGCCACTGTGTGGAATCTCTTCTTCTGATAGTGTCTTTGCATGTCATTATACATGGCAGATTAACCTCTTCCAACCAAGTTAGGAGGAAATGCCTTACGTGCACAGTAAAACGTAATTTGTAATATGAAAATATTCTTTGCACTTGCATCAACGTCTGAAAAATGATGTTAAAACTGTAATGTGAGCACATAAAATACATAAACTGCAAATCCAGTGGAGTGGGGGAGTAATGAAGATCTCACTTCTTTAACTTTTGACTACGTGGAAAGCTACATAAAACAGTTTCGTATCACTTCAAACATTAGTCGGCATTGAAATGGCCAGGCCCCTCCCCCCTGCCCTGAGTGCATGGATTTAATGCACTGGGACTCTAGTGAAAATATAACAGAAGTCTGTGTCACAACTACTGAATTCTGTCATTCTAGTACAAAAGTACTCATGGACAATATGTAAACAAATGAATGTGGTTGTGTTGTGATAAAACTTTATTTATGGACACTGATTAACGAATTTCAGTTAATTTTTACATGTTGCAAAAACAGTATTCTTCTTTTGACTTTTTAACCATTAAAAAAAATGCAAAAACCATTCTTAGTTCATGGGTGATACAAAAACAAGTGGCAGGCTGGATTTGGCCCCAAACTGTAGTTCGCCAACTCCTGCTTTCAGTTTGTCATAAGAATCTAGGAAAACAAAAGTAAATTAAAACCCAAAAAGAGTAGAAGAAAGAATATAATATAGTTAAGAGCAGAAATCAATAAAACAGAAACAAACAACAAAAAATTTCAACACAGCCAAAAGCTAGTTCTTTGGAAAAATCATTAAAATTGATAAACCTCTAGTGACACTGACCACGAAAGGGAGAAAGAAAACATAAGTTACCAAAACCAGAGTAAAGGAGGAGCTACTACTACAAACTTCAGCAAAATTAAAAGGTAAAAGGGGATTTAATGAAATTAACAAATTTTATGGTCACAAATACCAAACTTACTCCAGAAAAAATACAGTAATTAATTAGAATAGTCCTACAGCAATCAATGAAATTCAATTTGTAATATAAGATCTATCTGGAAAAAAAAAGAAAACAAACTCCAGTTCCAAATGCTTCACTAGTGAATTCTCCCAAGCATTTAAGGGAAAAATAAAACCAATTCTACACAAATTCTCTCAAAAAAGAAGAGGTAGAAAAACATCCAACTCATACTTTAAGACCAAGCTTAACTTGAGACAAAACCAGATATTATAATAAATTGATATACCAATATCCTTTGGGAACATAGATACAAAAATTTTTAAATTTAGCTAATCAAATCCAGTAATGTATATAAAAGATAATGCATTAAGTCCAACTGGAGTTTATACCAAAAATGTAAGGTGTTTTATTATGTTTAAAACCAATCATATAATTTTTTAATTTTTTAATTAGTTTACATTCACTATTACTTTGTATTCATTTTAAGAATAGAACATAGTGATGAGACAATCATATACTTTATAAAGTGGTATTTCCAGTACACACCTGGCACCAGAGATAGTTATTACAATTTTGACTATATTCACTATGCTATACTTTACTTCCCCGTGATTATTTCGTAACTACCAACTTAACTTCTCAATCCTTTCACCTTTTTCACCCATTCCTCACAATAATTCCCCACCAGTAACCAACCATTAGTCTGTTCTCTGTATCTATGAGTCTATTTATTATTCACTTATGTTGTTCTTTAGATTCCACATATAAGTGAAATCATCGGATATTTGTCTTTCTCTGACTGATCCATTTCACCCAGCACAATACCCTCCAAGTCCATCCAAGCTATCGCAAATGGTAAGATTTCATTCTTTTTTATAGCCAAGTAATATTCATTGTATATGTGCACCACCACTTTTTATCCCTTGTCTATGGCCACTTGGGTTACCTCTACACCTGGGCCACTGTAAACAACACTGCAATGAACATAGGGATGCACATATTCTCCGAATTAGTGATTTTTGTTTCCTGGATACATACCCAAAAGTGGAATTGCTGGGTCACAAGGCAGTTCCCTTTTTAATTTTTTGAAGACCCTCTGTATTGTTTTCCATAGTGACTGCACCAATCTATTATACGTTCCCACCAACAGTTGATGAGAGCTCCCTGCTCTCCACATCCTCACCAACACTTGTTTGCTGAGTTATTGAAAGCCATTCTGACAGATGTGAGATGGTATCTCACTACAGTCTCAATTAGAAATTCTCTGATAACAAGAGAGAACCCAACCCCCTCATGTCTACTGACTAACTGTCCTTTTGGAGAAGAGTCTACTCAGGTCCTTTGCCCATTTTTTAATTGGACTGTTGTGTGTGTATGTGTGTGTGTGTGTGTGTGTGTGTGTGTGTGTGTGTGTGTTTTGGGGGAGTGAGTTGTATGAGTTCTTTACAAATGTTGGATATTAACCCTTTATTGGATGTATCACTGGCAAGTATCTTCTCCCATTCAGGAGGTTGTCTTTTCATTTGTTGATGGTTTCCTTTCATACTTTCACTAGGGCTACGATATATAACTATGGTTACCTAGGAAAGTATTTAAGATAATGCTGAGTATATTAAAATATATATGTTTTTTAATTTACAAATAGATGCTTAAATATTAGTGAAATCATAATATAAATCAGCCCAGAAATGAGATGTCGTCAGAGAATGGAAAGAATTTTAGAGCTATTGGGATCTCAAA